TCAGCTCTAAAATATGAAACTACGGGAAAGAGTGTAAAATATACTACCTCCTTTGCTGGAAACAAGAAGAGAGTCGCCCTGTCTCTTAATCTGAATTTGTTACACTGATGTAAAACTCTGCTGAGGATAAATTGTAAAAGGTAGAAAAGGTCACCATGACAGAATTCAGGATTATTTTCTCTGAATAAGGGGAGGTCATTTCTGATTCACAAAGTCAGCCTTCTATTCACCGCCAGCAGAGTGGCTCCACACTGTAGATCAGTATGACATCACAGATTTGAGTTTTCAATTTGCTTCAGGACAGAATCGTTCATTCCACTTATTCTGCAGCTTAATAACCTGAATGTCAGTTTCAGTGGGATTCCCAGCGGGGATCCTATTTCCTGCACTTTGTCTATGAGGACATCAAGCTTTCTGAGCTGAACTGCTGCAGAATCACAGTCTTACCAGAAAGGCCTGCTGGCGTACGAGTCAGCAGTTCAGACTGGTGACATGGCACAGGACAAAACAGCTACATCTGAGTAGAAGTCAACACAGGAGCTGACGAGAATTGAAAGTGATGACAGAAAATGAGAGATCAGACATTCAAAGATTTCCATTCCATTTTCTATTCAACACTTATTAACACTGTTCATAAAATGTTCATATAATTAGTCTGTCATTTAGAACCACAAATCCAGTGGTGTGTCATCAGGGCAAGCAAGGCAAGCATTGCTTAAGCAGTTAAAGCTAAAAATAGACATGAATTACAAAGGTAACAAAGTGGAGGTGGAGTCTCTCCTTTTATCTTGGAACAGCGTTCTGTCCCATAAAGGATCTGATATTTCCTGTTTGCATTCATTTTGTTATTTACTGCCCTCTTTTGGCCACAGCAGGCTACTGTCTCTGGAAGCTAGCTTGAGCGCCAGCCAGCCAGTCAGCCAGCCAGCCAGCCAGCCAGCCAGCCAGCCAGCCAGCCAGCCAGCCTCTCATTTCTGTCATTTTTGTGGGTGTGGTCATGTCGACAGAGCCATTAGTCTGGCCCATAACCCTCTGTAAAATTTCAACTTGTTTTACAAGATGTAGTATTAACTTTGAATAGCAAGCTTTTGCTAGTAGGTGAATTTTGTTGTTGTGTCTGTTTCTCCCTGTTACAATCGCAATTGGGGAAGGGGGAAGCAACATAACCTGTTTGAACTGTTTAAGTAAAATTTATTAGATAGTAAGGAGAGTAACAAAGGTGAACAAAATGTGGGAAAAACTAAAAGAGGGGAACACGGCAAGTGGATCCTGCTTAAATCAAAAATACAACAAAAACAGGACTCAAACTAACATAAGTTGGAAATTTTACTCTAAGATAAAAATACAATGAGAAACACAAACCTTTCTACGCTCTCTTAAAAACAAAGACACAAGAAACAGCAACCCTGCTCCTAGTGTCACTAACAATTCTCAAGCTAAGTGTGTGAGAACTAAACTCTAGTCCAGTGCCTTCTAATACAAACGAGTTCCTCAATTCATGAAAAACTATTCACAAAGGTTTAGAAAGGACACGAGGTGCTGGGGCAAGCCGTGTAACCCAGCCGCCCTCCCGAGCAGCTGTTTGGCCAGGCCTTTTGACTCCTTGACTTGTGAGTGGCTTCAGCTGCTTTGGCGGTGGAGACGTCAGCCACTCCAATAAGCAACACTCCGTTTCCAGTCTGTATGCTAAACTAAGCTGAAGCTAAGCTCCAGCTTAAAAAAAAAAAAAATCATGATCTCAATGAGATTGCCTGTTTAAATAAAGGAGTAGAGGTTTCATCTAACTCTAAATTGAGAATGATTAACAGTCTTTTGTAAAATGTTTAACTGATTAAAATTCCCCATAACCACCTTTTTCTTTGAATTGATCTGCTGTGATAAACATGAAATACATTTCAATGCAAGTTATATTTGTTTATTTATATCAGACACAGAACAGCAAAAATCATACAGACAAAAATTTGTCTGTATTAAATATCTGTAAAAAAAAAAATCTAAAACTTAAAAATACACATTTTGGATTAGCCTATTTTGTGAGGAGTTTTCAAATTTTGTTATAAAATTTGGTGCTGTTCCTCCTCTATACTGTAAAATGTGATGTGAACAACTATCGGCACAAAATTTGGTACTACCAGTCATGGTCCCCAGAGGATGAACCCTGATGAGTTTGGTGATACCCTGACTTTTCCTCTTCCTCTAGCGCCACCAGGAGCTGTACTCTCTGTTTAGTGTAGAATTGCAAATATTAGCATACTAGCTAAACTTAGATGTGAACATGGTAGATGTTACCTGTGAGCATTGTTACTATGAGCATCAAGCCTCTTAATCTTGTTTTATCATTAGTTTTTTGTGACTTCTAAACCTAATGTGAGCTGTTTGTAGAGCTGTCCAGAGACAGGAGACTTAACACCAAGCTTGTACTCGAGTTCAGCATCGCTGGCTTCAAAAACCAATAGAGAGAGAAACAACCACAGGAATGTCAGGATGAAACAAAGTCAATGCCAGAATGCAAGAAGTGGTAAAGGAAATATGGAACATTAACTCAGATGTCCCCTAACAAAAGCCTGGAGCTGTCCCACTGAGTCACACAGCGAACTCTGCCTGCTCTATACCCACGTATCCTCACCCTCATCACTGTGCTGTTAGTGCCAGCCACACTGAGGAGGGACCGGGAGAGGCATCAGAAAACATCACTTCAAGGAGTCTGTTAGAGGATCTGAGAGACTTTGATAATGTAAGGCAGGGACTTGCACCCACTGACAGCTCAATTCTTGTCTGTCTGTGAGAACAGTGCTGGAGGACGGGGGCTCAGGCCTTCTATATTGATGCACCTTCCCTCAGATGAGTCCTTGTTACAAGCAAATGCAGACAGTATAAGATTCAGAGGAACATTACAAACAACTGCTGTGACCTTTTTCTGAGAATTACTGTTTGAGGTTTTCATACTAAACAATGAACATTCAACCTGGTCATGTTGAAACCAGACTTGTGGTTGATATGAAAAAATGCACACTGCTTTGGAGCAATCTGTGGCAGATTTGGGGCAAGCTTGCTTTAGTATGAAAGAGAATAACCATCTTTACTGCCCTAAAGCTTCTACTGTCTGCTCCAGCTGCTGAGTAAAATAACACAGGGTCTACACACAACATGACAGATCCAAGATCCTCTAGTCTTGTTAGTGGGGCCAACTGCAGTCGGGAAAAGCTACTCTTGTGGCGAGAGGTTTTTGGTTCAATAAAATAATGCAGTCATGTTTTAGTCCTACGAGAACACAAGGTCCTTAAAGTATTCAGTACGGGGAGCCTTGGCTGAAGATGTCCATAATGGGGGCTTATTGTTGTAAGCTAGTAAGTGAACCTTGAGTTCAGAATCTGTCTGTGCTGTGTACCTCGACATCTGTCACCTGTCACTGTCTGTCCTCATGTACCTGCGCGCACATCTTTTACTGTGGCCTTGCTTTTACTGTGCCACAGTGATTTATGTGTTTTATGTACTGTAAGTGTGTGTGCTTTTAATGTCTGTGTACTGAGTGCTTCATATTTATATAGTACCTGACAATGTAGAATAATGGTATCCTGTATGATGTTTTTACTAATATTGATATTCTCCTCTCTTATTATTATTATTGTGCTGCATGCTTATAAATAATATGAGTATCTTACATTCTTTTTTTTAGAGTGACTCTGTACCATCTATTCACGGACAACAGATGAAAAATAGCATCTTGGCTAACACTAGTGTATTTACAGAATTGTTTATTAATGTTCTCTGCAACTGTTAAATACACCAATAAATAAAACCAATAATAGAATATATTGCTTCATAAGATATTTGTAATGCACAAGTTCCAAAACAATTTCTTTAAAATTTAACTAATGATCCATTTTTAATTCATTCAGTTTTAATTTGCACCTTTTGTAGTTACCACTGACAGTCTTATTGTCCTATTAGTGTCTTATTATTTGTAACTTATCAGTTGGTTTTACATGTTGCAATTTGTTTTTACTAATTTGTCTTTACTAATTGTTGTACATACTGTACATATTGTTTCATTGCTGCTGACTGAAAGTACATTTGCACCATGTACATGGATAACATATGAAACACTGCATTACCAACTTAACAGAGGGCCCGAAACCCACAGGGGGATTAAAAGCTCCAGGTTCAATGTGGCAATTGTTTTATTTTAATTTCATTAATTGCATTTTGTTTGGTAATACTGAGTGTACCAACAGCACAATATAACCTCAAATTAAAGTGGCTTTAATGTCACATCCTCTGCATAATCTTGAGGGTCATACACATTTGGCATTTTATTATGAAAACCTTTTTTTATTATTACCAAAAACACTTTGATGTACAGGTTTAGTACTTCTGGCTTAGTAGGAGACAGTGAGTGAAAGCAGCATGAAAAAAACATATTATAATGCATGGAACAGATTAGGCTACTACACAGAAAGATACTGACTGAAACTGCCTCCAGGTGGAGCTGAAAGACAACAGATCTCTACAGGTCAGCCTTCCTGAGGCGGCCCACTTCCTGCAGTAGAGTCTCTTCCTACATCTTCAGTGATAGTCACTCATATGTTCATACAACCCCAGACTTTCTTATTAGCTATAGTTTACAGCTTTATTGTTGCATTATTTAAATATGTTCTTTATTGTTTGTTTTAAGAGTGCACGTATGTGTGTGTGCTTAATCAAAATGTATTTGCCCTACTGAGTCTTATTGCTTTGAGTGTTGGCACCCGTTTTCTCCAAGATGATCAACAGTCATCTTGTTTTCATCCTGCAGGCTGCTGGTTCACAGCTGAGGAGAAGCTTCAGAAGAACTGGAGGGTGTAGCATTAAATTACACAGCGCGCGACTTTGAATTATTCAACTAAATTGCATAATTATTGAATAATGATTAGTCATTGGTGAACGCCTAGTGCTGCAGGACACGCCGGTAACGAATAAAACCACATTTCCCACAAGGACTTGCGTCGTCAATAAGGAAATTGGTTAGGTAAATAACCTCTTCCTGTTACGAAAGTTGTATTTGTAAACACAGCTGTTGTTCTCGACATTTTATCAGTCGTCAGGCCGTCTTTACAGATGTGGAGGGTTCGTAATTGAAGTACACGACGGTACGCTTTTTAAATACGTGACATACGTGACACAGCAGCAACTCACAACTAAGGACGACAACTTTACGACACTTCATGTGAAAAACAGCAAGTTTAAAGTAACATTGCTTCGAGAGAGCAGACGCGTTGGCGTCAACGTCACTTAAGACGTTTTATGAATTTATAAATAACACTCTTTCATTCGGTATACTTACAATGTTTTCAGTGTAAAGAGAAACCGCCAAATAAATGCTCAAGTTGTAATAGTTACCTAGTGCGTCAGAGCAACGTAAATGTTGGGCTGAAGGTGTAGCCTGCCTATTCAGTCATGAGATGTGTCCATTTTCCCAGAAATGTATTTGTGCCTTTATCCACTGGTTTCATGACATTAACTGTATCACATATGCAAAAAAAAAAAAACTTTGACTTATCACTCCACTCAAATCTTTACCAAAATCTAACATTGCTCTGTATAGTTGTTTGACAGGAGAAAGTTTTTTGTTGATTGGATACTTCTATTGACTCTCCACTCGAACTGAGACTAACGTGTCCCACTCCCACCTTCCATCATATTTATAGGCAGCAGATGCAGCAGGGTGGCCCTTCATCTCCCAGCTGCCCCTCCAACTCAGACTGCTTCCCCCTCAGCCGCCTCAATACAGCCAAATGTGGAAGTGAGACCTCAGCTGAACAAGAGAAACACGAAGTGAGAGCAATACTAGTTCTACTGTGAATATCAGTCAATGATTGACGTGAAAATCATGAGACAAAGCAGTGATGTGGAGTTAAGTTCAGTATTGTAGAGAGGGAAGTGCTTTCAGTTTTACAGTAGCTGTGGACAAGGTAAGGCATGCAACACATTTCTGACAAATGTCAAGCTTATGATAAAATGTCGAGTTTGATGTCATGCTGAAATAAGCAATGGTGGTTGCAGGTTAAAAGAGGTTCAACCACTTCTATCGCATTTTAATTTTGATTGCTAAACGGTTTTTATCCTTTTGTGTATCTTGTATCTTGTAATTTAGTTAACATTCAATTTTGGCTGGTAGCTGCTGCTTCTGTCTGTTGCAGGTGACAAAGGCTGAGCAGGAAGATGTTCAACACTGATTTAGTGATCACGCCAAGGTTAAAACCAGACTCGATTTAGTCTGATGTTGAAATGTGGTCACTGAATTATCAGATGTCTTAAAAACTGCATACGTTCTAAACAAGGGACATTTAGACTTCCTTTGACCTGCAAATCACCAGCTCACTGTTTACTGGGTGGTGACTAACTCATGTTTGGATTGAATCAGCAACACAACACTCTGCCTGTCTGACCGCCATGCTGTCCTGCCTGTATCTATTTAGCCCACAGATCTGTCCAGGATGAGGTCCATCATGATCTTCTACATGTGCTACCTGTTGTGCCTTGGCCTGGGCCTGGCCTGCGTGGTGTGTGTGTGCGTCTGGAACAGCCAGTGGCGCGGCGGGTTCGCCTGGGACAGCAAGGCCCGGCAGTTCAACTGGCACCCGGTCCTGATGGTCACAGGTCTGGTTGTGGTGTACGGCATCGGTGAGTGACTTTTTTAAATTTAGGATCACAGAGTTTCATTTCTGTTTCTCACTTCTGTTCTTCCCTCTGACAGCCAGACAGTATTAAGATAATTACACACTGCAGGTTTCAGAGAGACCCAACATATAATTTGATGCATCATTACAGTAACATAAATGAGAGGTAATGTCCACAGTGACTGTTTTTTTAGTGCCACACCTCAGTGATTGCAGTCACAGTTTTCTCTAGAGAAAAGTAAACATTGATGAAATTAAGTAAATGCCTTTCAGTAAGGACCTGCAATGTGTCTCCATCATAGTACACATTATATTATCTGGACATTATACTGTAACAATGGCTTCTGTCTGTCTCTCTGTAGTAGGAACTTCACACTTCTGTTAAATTCCTCCTCTGAGCAGATAATCTCTAGATTTTGGAGAACTTTGCTGCTTAAATTTGCATATGAATGTGAAACCTGAATGACAAAGTAATATTTGGTCATTAATGCATGAATGATCTTAATTCTTTACCTCATTGGGTGTAAATACAATGTAACTCCAGACATTTAATGGTGTAAAAGGTTTTTAAATATGTGAAGAGGAGGCTTCAGTGAAAATTGTCCTGTACTGTGACTTTCCACATGTGATCAACATTCATGAAAGTATTTTGCAAAGTTGTAATTATACATGACTAACAGAAACATGTACTGATTTCGTATTTATCACTCTATTTCTGTTTTTACGAAACATGTTAATTATGTCACTTCAATTATGAAATAAACAGTTGAAATGAAATGTAGTTTCTTCAGGACCAGAGTAACCCTAGGTAACCCTAACCTTTATATTAGTACTTGAGTGATTTAGTTTTTCAACAAAACACGATATGCAGAAACTTTTAGCCCTTGGTATGAGTCAAGCTCCAAAAATGCTATGCTGATCCTGCATTTCCCATAATGCAATTCAGTAGCATCTTCCCTTAGACTTCTCCAGCCAGATAAATACCCATTGTCTTTCTAATTCCATGCCTCCACTTTGTAACATTTGTTAAATGTTTGTACTCTTCAGATCTAAATTGCGACATCAAGATTATTTTCTATTCTTAAATACATTTTTCTATCTTTTCTGTTGATGCCTCTCCCCTGCAGGAGCTGTGTTGTACCGCATCCCCCTGACCTGGGGTCAGAATAAACTCCCCTGGAAACTCCTTCATGCTGCACTGATGCTCATCGCCCTGGTCCTGTCGATCGTGGGACTTTGTGCTGTGTTTGACTTCCACAATGCCAACAACATTCCTAACCTTTACTCTTTGCACAGCTGGATTGGAATTGCTGCCACAGCCCTTTTCGCCATACAGGTATGACAGGTATATGAGTTTAAATGTAGAGACAGAATCACTTCAGTGCAATAAGGTGTGCATGATTGTTTTCCTTTGTTCTCATTGTTATGTGTCTCTCTGTTCTCTCTATCTGTGGGTGTCCATTCATTTGCCATATCCAGTGGGTGGTGGGTGTGGCTGGCTTCCTCCTGCCCTGCTCCCCCATATCACTACGTAAACTCCTGAAACCCGTGCATGTGTGGATGGGAGGCAGCATATTGTGGCTCAGCATCGCTGCCTGCATCTCTGGAATTAACGAGAAACTCTTCTTTGTTCTGTAAGTGCCATTTTTCTCTGTTACTTTTTTATGAATGCTTTTATTTCAGAGGAAAATTCTCCAACTGATTTTTTTCCACAGTAAAGGAACCGCCAATGGAACTCAGCCATACTCTAAACTTCCACCTGAGGCTTTGTTAGGAAATTCATTAGGAGTTTTGATTGTAGCCTTCGGTTTGGTCGTTCTAAAGATTTTGTCCAACCATAACTGGCAGAGACCGGACTCTCGGCCTGAGGATCTGGCTTACACGGTGAGACTATCAATACAGTTGATGTGCATTAAAAGAGATTAGAGGATTTAATTTCACAAAGTGTGTTGTAATAACCCTTATCTACTCTCCTCTACAGCCATTGCTTCAAGAGGAAAATGAATGAATTAAGGAAATTTTAAAACTTGCTCACTGCATGACACCCAGCCATGCAAAATCAGGTCAACCACCAGAAGAGGCCAAGAAATTTCTACTCTGAATGCAACAGTCTCTGCCTGGAGTGTGTAAAAAATATCTGCATCTGTAAATATTTATTTGAAATTATATTTAAGATTGCCTTTCTGCCCAAAAAATTAAAAAAAAATGTGTTTCATGAGATACGTTTTATTGTGGTGTGTTAGCTCTCCAATGATGCGCTGTAGCTTTGACATCGCGCTGTAAAGCTGTAACTGGCCCCAAGTGTTAAAGTTTGTGATAATATAGTGTAGGATTTTTTTTAACTACAGTGAGTATACTGATGGTAATGCTGTTCCCTCACAGACTTTTGCTGACACACAGTTTATCAATAGCTGGACTAAGTGATAATTGAAAAACCCTTTTATCGTCTAAAACCTTCAACGTTGAATTTAATGAGCCAAAACTTTCCTACGACTTCATTTAAATAACAGTTTCAAATGATTGGTCTTGTGATTTTGATTCTTGTATCCAGAATCACTCATTAACACTCAAAGGAGCATTACAAATTTGCAGATAGATTGTGGCTGAATATTGTCCACTGCACATGTGGTGAACGGGTAAATGGCGGACTGAAGTCGTGCGAAAGAATATCAGGAACTCCTGCACAGTCTCAGCACTAAGTTTATACTTAGACTGAAATATTTCCCTAACTAGTTTGCTTTCTATGAATTTTTGTTTAAGAGTGAAATGTCTGGCCAACTACTGGATGGACAGCGATACAATTAAGTGCAGGCATTAATGATCCCTAGTGGATGAACTGCAGAAACTTTGGAACCTTGACTTAATCTTGCACCATCATGAGGTGAAAATTTATGTGAGTTCAATACTTTGCCATGACTAAATACCTGCAAAATTAATGCAATTCCCATTGCAACTTGTGTTTAGTGGCAATTAGCTAACGTTAGTATATTACCATTAAACTAAGTCAAGATGGGCAATATTGTATTGTACTTGCTAAACATGAACATGCTAGAACTGTAATGGGTAAACATGCTGATGTGAACAAGCTCAAAGTGCTACTGTATTTAAGTACAGCCACACAGAGCTGCTAGCATGGCTGGAGACTGCTAGTCTTGTTAACTGGTTGTTGCAGCTTTTGGCTCGAGTATAAAAATGTTTCTGTGGTAAATATGTAGTAACACTTTATGATACGGCCTGCGATTTACCGCGTAGGTACCAATTAAGTTTTTACTGGTTCCTCCTAACTGTAGATTCAGCGGAAGAAAACATGACGATGGGGAACAAGGGGTGAACAACTGGGCTTTTTAGAGGAATGGAGAAATAATTGATACTTTTAAGTATTGTGTAGTACTTTCGTTAACTCTCAGGTCATGCACTTTGTATAATAAAAGATCTAAAAAGAATCAGTCAAATTGTCTCTCATCAGATTTAGGGCCATCTGCTGAAAGTCAGCCTTGTGTAGTAGGGAAAAAACGGAAACAGCTTTTATTTCTTCTCTACAACTATAATGAAATGATGATGTATGTAAGTTAAGCAGAAGTGACATTTTTACATTGTCATACTGAGAAATTATTTTCACTTGTGAGCTTTAATGTTTACCGCAGATTTTTGTTGAAGGTCAAACAGTGACGCTGCTGATACCTTCTCAAGACTCATTGTAATGTTTCCCTCAACTCGGACAGGTGATCTGGGTCTATAGTCAAAAAATAACAAAGAACATGAACCTAGAATGTGGCCACAGGTGTGCTTAGACTGGTTCCCTTCTAAGACACCCCCTGGTCCACCATAGACAGGATGTCCAGCTGTCACAGTTGCCATTAATAAGAAATAATTGCTGAAGTACATTGTTTGCCAAAACCACAAAACACAGAAGTAGAGAAAAAAACCCAGGGGAAGTCTGCAGTGAACATATGCACTGCAGAGTTCGACAGGACTGTGAAGGTGAAACCACTGAAACACAACAGATGTCTCGGGTAGAGGATGTAGACAGACTGTCATGTGTCCCATCACAGGACACATTCTTAATATGGTGATCCTGGAAACTTCTTAAAAAGGTCCCATATTTTACACTTTTCTGTTGTTTCATTTGAAGTTTTGATATCCATAAGAAGATATATTTGTGGTTTTAAGAACCAAAAACTGTTGTAATGTATCCCAGTGTTAGGTCTAGTAAAAACAGGTCAGTGAGCCAATCAGATCAGAGGCTCTGAGCCTCTCTTCTGATTGGCTGACTGTTTTCTCAGTGATCAAATACAAAATATACCAGATCTCAGGTAAACACTCAGTGAAACCAAATCCAGCAATGTTGGATGGTGGGTCCAGGTAAGCGGGGCTTGGGGCATGGCTGAGAGTGGTGACTGCTTTGTTGTGACATCACAAAGTTACAGAAGTCGTGACGGCTTGTTTCAAGGCTCAGTCTCTGAATACAGGCTGTGTGCATTTCTCTGTGGACTGAGCGCTTTGATACTTTCACAGTATTAATATAGAACCTAGACCTGATCTATAATCAAACAACACATGGAATTTGTACCTTTATACTATATGGGACCATTAAAAAAAAATATGTTTTAACTTTGTTGTAGGTTATTTGAGTGTAGACTAATGGGTAAAATGACAATTGTATCAAATTACAATAAAATCTACAACACAATAAAGTGAGTAAAAAGTTAAGGGGTCCGAATACTTTCTGAAGACACTGTATGTCAGTCTGTACCAAAAGGTTGGACCGACCGACCAACCAGTGGTTTTATGGAGGGATATATTCCAGACTACTTATTTGCTGGGTTTCGTTGTCATCATGATGTTGCCCAGAACACATTGGAGACTCCAGCTCCTGGCTAATAAATTGTTTGGCACATAATCTTCATAAAGCCACATTTTGTTACTTTTTTATAACACTTTATTTTTGTAGATTAAGCAAATGAGATATAATATGTTCCCTGTTTTAATGCTAAGCTGACTGTTTCCTAACCATAGCATATGGCATATTTACCATACAGACATCACAGCGGTATCAATCTTTTCTGCTACCTCAAGTGTTTTTCCCAAAACATCTATTCCCCATTGAACTATTAGACCTATCTTCATGTGTGTGATACTATATTGATATGATTATTTTTTCTCATTCCTACCTGTTTTCTTTATGGACCAAGTAGCTTCCAAGTATCTGGATGCAGATCATAAGCAAACTCCAAACATAAACGGCCAGTGCAGGTGATCAAACCCTTGCCATAAGGTGGCACTAATAATCCCAATTATTATATCTGTGTATGGATCAGTGAATTGCCAAGGTGTGATGTAGACTTGTGTCAAATGTTCCCTCTGATTAAGGTTGCAACTCAGCTGTGCAGAAAATGAGAGAGGGGAAGATGAAGGGAGTTAACATAATACTGATGATGATCAGTCACTGATCAAATGAAAGGAAGTGGTGTAGTAATGGATGTTCTAACAGTCTCCACTGATGCTGCAATGGCTTTGGGTGAAAGCACATGATCCAGATGCGATACATGAACGTCTCAATGAAAGCTATAAATATACGAAACCAGTGTTATGAAAGGCATGATAAGTGCTAGAGGTGTCACACAACATCCAAAGCAGCACAAAGAAAAACCAGACTCCCATGTTTTTCATGTTTTCTCTTCTCTGAAATTTTTATATAAGTGATATGACCTAAAGACACTTCACACATGAGTGTTTTGGAGGCCAAAAGATTTCAGCAACACTTTCTGTAAGTATTCTGCAGTCTTGATCTGGTTTGTATCATTTGAGACAATCACAGCTGTCTTCACAACACACAACACTGATTTCCTCCAGTTCACGAAAAAACAACATACACTGCCAAGTTTGCACCACAGAGTTTTTTTTAATGAGCTGTCTGGTTTATGTTATGAGGAAGAAATCTGGGAAGAGAAGGTGACCTAACCAAAACACATCATTTTATTAGTTACATTTGTAGTACTTGGTCAAATTGAGCTGCTGCCCCGTTGTTGAAAGAGAGAATGTCATACAACACAAGGTGGCAGCAGAGTCGAGTCGAGTCCGATGAACACACTTCAGACTTCGAGCTAGGCTACTTGTGCTGCACTCTTGACATGATAAACCATATGTCATGAACAACACGTATTTGCTTTCACAGACGAATGAAATTTCATTCAAATGAAGAGGAGTTTGGCAGGTAAATCTCCTCCTACCCATCACAGGTAAGTGTTGCCTTCATGAACTTTCAGAAATATAACTGAGGACAAATTGATGTCAGGAGAGTGTGGAAAGATTGGTGAAAAAAAAAACGTGGTATGATTTTGTGTTATTAACATTAATTATGCTTTTATATTGTACCACATGTAATTCAGAGTAAGTCAATTAGAATATCAATTAACTCCATGCCTGATGGACATTTCTTCCTCTTCATTTTGAAGCACAGTGCAGCTCTGTGCCTCTCATTTCTAAAATAAGAACAAACTCCAGCTTAATTATCATCTTCCAGCCAAAAGCACTTGAAAATCAAACAAAGCATATTCACAATGTCCCATTAATGGGTTTTGAGGGAGTGAAGCTAAAATTTAAGGAGCACAAACAACAATACTTTTACAATACAATACATTTTATCTCCATGTACCCACCACTGAAGACTGATGAAACCTAAATTTATGGTACCTTGCATTACCAGGCTGGTTTAAATACTAAATACAGTATGTAAATACTCTAAATACTGTAACTCTAAGGATTGTTGGTCTTGACAAAGGAAATGAAGTAAATGAGGAAATGGATGTGCAGAAATATTTATTAGTTTGAAACAAAATATAAAATCAATAGTTGTGACATAAAACAATGTGAAAAACTGACATCTGTGGCAAGACACAGCTTTGTAGTTTGAGGAAGAAGTCACCTGTGTTATCATCACTTTTTCAGTGTGTTCTTTTTGATGTATTTTTTAACAAGATGCAAAGATTATTCCATTATCTGTGAAAAAACTAACAGGTAATGTCATATTTTCATGGCAGGACAGGAAATGAACTGTAACTGCTAGCTTGCTTGCTTACAGCAACTGCACTGCTAACTACATTTAGCATGCTAATAAAAATAATAGAACAGTGAATTAAACCATAATTTATTGATTAGAATATTGAAATGGTTAAAGAATTTAAATATTTTTTGTTGTTTTTGTTTCATTTGAGACCTAAAGCTAAACTTCATGAAACAAAAATATTAACCTGCAATAACTAAGTTTATAGTTTTTTTTTATTTTATTTAATTTAATTTTCTCTTTACACATGGGATATGTGACAAGATTAGCATTCATTTGGGCACCTATGATACATCTAAGTGCATTTTCCCTCTATTTTAGTCTTTTGGTCTCCACTAGTTCCTGAGAAAATAGCAGCTATATTCTGCACTATGATCTCCAGCTAGTCTCCAACTGTGTCTGTTTTATGTTGCTGGGCAGGTATGGCGGTGGTTTTTTTTTTAGAGCTAGCAGCCGAATAACAACACAATGAGAGTGATGAGACAGAACCAAAACAGTAAAATAGATGTTCTCCCATTCACCTCTTTTTCAAGGCTCTTTGATTTTTCAGTTTTACGACACTCATTGAAAGCAGCATGTTAACTTTCTCATAACTATCAGCGCTGTGTTCAAGTCGGATCCGCTATTTCCACGTCCCAGGCCATCTCCGGTGAGGTCATCGTTAAGGTGGGCGGCAGTGGGCGGGGCCAGCGCAGCTCGGGTCCAAAGCCTGGCTCTGATTTGCATGAGAGGGAGTGAAAGTTTAGAGAGAAGGAGCAAAAAAAAAAAAAAAACAGCTGACTTTGGGCTTTGGTCCGAACTCACTGGGCTGCATTCAGCCTGTTACCGCAGTCTGCAGGAGCGCACAGCTTCAGAGGGGACTGTCCTGAGCAGCGACAAGAGAAGTAAGTCCAACTACAGCCTGACAATATGCGAAAGTCTCCAGAGCTTGTTGCCACATTGCTGTGTTGTTAATGGGACTTGCCGTGTGAGGTGGGGCAGTGATGTTTTTTGCTGTGCTGTGATGTTACTGCAGGGTTTTCATTGTCTTCAGCTTTGACCTCTAGTGGTTCACCATCAGGGTTTAAGATACCACATGGTGTCTTTTTGATATGGATTAGGATGTGTTTTCAGGACTTAGAGTAAGTTTTGTACATGATTTGCAGTATTTAAACATGAGAGCCCTACATTAAAAGCTTAATGAAGATCGGGAAGATCAATAATCACAAACTTTGATAATCGATTATTTGTCATTTATCAAGCAAAAATACAAAACATTTTCAGGTCCCAGCTTTTCCATTGTAAGGATTTGCTGCTTATTTCTGTTTTATACCACTGTAAGTAAAACACATTTGGTTTTGAATTGTTAGTCAGACAAAATAACCAATCTGAAGATATCACTATGCCCTCTGAGCTTTTTCCCGTTTAGTTTCTGGCATTCAGTTGACTAAACAGTGAATAGATTAATCTGAAAATAATGGACATGTTAACCAACAATAAATAAAATAAAATCAGTAGTTTCAGCCCTTGTTACATCATCAGAAGAAAGTTGCATCAATTGCAGGTATTTTTATTGTGTCTATATACAAATACAATATTCTCCTCATGTGAAGAAGGCCCCTTTGTTTTTCTTTTATTGGGTAAAATGATTTGGTGTTAAAAAGCATTGCGGAATAGAGGAAATGTCAGTCTAAATCTTTTTGGTGCTTGAACCTTCTCTCTGTGTCTACATGCAGTGAAGCCACCGTGTGAGCGCTTCAGAAAAGGGCAGGAGAAGAAGCAGTTGACATTCTTATAAACTGACATTTTGACCTTTTCAACTGCTGCATAGATCCCCTCCAGCAGCAGGTGGGACACGTCTGACTTCCACAAAGGTGAAAGCAGTGCTGTATGTGGGCCACAAAAAGGCCTTCCAACCTTTCTTAAAACACAGCGGTGTTGACATTAAGATAATGCAGTTTTTAAAGAGCCTTTTGTCTCTGTTTCTGAGGCGAAAGGCAGCAGATGTTTCGGGTTTCAAGGTTTTCTGGTTCAGGGAATTTCTTGACATTTTATTTGGTGTTTGAAGGAAAGAGGGGCCAGAAAATCCTGGATCTGTTGTTGTGATTGACTAAGTGACTGCAGCTTCATCCAATCCTCATCCTTCGTGAATATCAACACCTTCGCCTGAGAAATCACGAAAGAGCTCATCTGTGTTCCGAGCTTGACATGGGAAACATTCAGGAATGAGCTTCTCTTCTTTATGCAATGCCTCAGTTGAATCTTAGTTTTATGTACATTCTGACTGTTTTTCTAATGACAACATCGCTGTTTGGGCTGACACATCGAGCGCAGACCCAGAGGCTGTGGGCTTCATTCCGTCTGTTCATTGTGTAATGTGTATGTCGTTTCGAGCTTGTGTAACCACTGCCACGTTACAATGAGGAAAGTAGAAGGATCATCTGCCAGATGTTGTTACACAAATGCAGAAAAATTATGAGCTTTTAACATTTGATTGGTTTGTGGAAACGCAGCTGTTGACGAGTCAGTGGGGGATTTTAGTTGTGTGCATATTTTTGAGTCATGCTTTGTCCGGCCATAAACTCTTGGTTATATCAGTCTTTGACTTGGGAATTTGATTTATTCTTTCTCTTTAAAGGTAGGCGATAGAAGCAGTGGTCCAACCATACATCAGTATTCGTCTGTGGGAGGTTGGCGTTATGTCACTACAGGTGTCTGTTTCAAGCTGGAGTCCAGCTTTTTCTTGGACTCCTGATCTGATCTGATAAATGATCACCTCTCGATACACTGTGGTTTGAGTAACTGCACAACTGTTTCACATAAATTAATGTTTTGCTTCTTTATATCATCTATTGACATGTCACAGTAATAACTGAATCCAAAGAAAATGGAAACGTTTGTGATGAAAATGTTTCCATTTGCTGATTTAAAAACCATAAGGTTGTTTATCTTGGGAAAGGTCCTCAGATGAATAGAAAGTAATGTGTTTTTACATTTATGTACAGTCTGCAATTTGTTGAAAAGGTATAAGAAATAAACTGCACCACCTGGTTGGGCAGTGTCTTTAATTGATTGTTAAAGAAGTGACCTCATGTTAGAAACCAGACATGTCACAAGAATCAAGAAATGCAAAGATTTTGTTGATTATAACTTTAAAGCTGCAATTACTGACTAACTTTTTTGGCCACTTGGGGGCAGGGAAAGAAGCTGTAAATATTAGCATAGCATCACCTTATAAAGTTGCGTGCAAACATGTTAACAAACTATTGCTTGTCTACACATCTAGCAGAGAGAGATCAACATTAGCATTTAGTTGGAGTGCACAGACTCCATCTGGGATCCACAACAGGTAATCTGTATTTTAGTACGAAGCCTTGTTGCTCCCATTTCCCGTGTTAAAGTTATTTCATTACGTTTTAACACAAACACTTCCTGTAACTGTTTGTAATTAAAAGCCCTCTGGCGTTTAAGTGGACAGAAACCCCTTTATTTATTAACCGGTCTTTTATTGCTGTGTGTATTGTCTCATTTCCTGTTGCTGTTGTTTTTGTTGTTTACCTGCTATCCAGATCGGCTCGTTTCTTTAGCGGTTAGTGATGACTCTCCCTCTCTCTCTCCTGCTCTCTCTGCTCGGCGTGTCTTATATTTAGTTATTCGTCTGCCTCCTTTACTAATAATGATACAGTACATATAATGAAAGTAGTTTATTTGCTGTAATGGAGGTGAAGCTCAGTGCAGCTCTCAAGCACACAGGAAACCAGGGCAGCAAGGTGACTGCCTGTAACAAGAGGTGCAGTCGGGAGCCCACGGTTGGCACCCATACATGGTCCAGCCATATACTGGGTTTATACCTAGTCTTGTTTGAAAGAAAGTCTCCAGATCTAGCGACAAATGCACTAAGTTTGCAACACTGCAGACTGTAAACGCCCCCCTAATAGAAACTGTTTGCGCCAAAGGGGGAAATGCCAACTCAGTCACGTGGCAGTCAGGTGACCAATGATAGAAATCAGTCAGTCAGTCACTCACAAACATTTGTGATTATAGTGCTGCCCCTGCTGTTGCGATCCAGCCAAAAAGGATTGGTAAAAACCAAAGCACAAGAAGCTGAGTTTTTTGGACTTTTAGTCCAAAAACACTGGATGCTACATTTCCTATTATGCAGCGTGATCACATATTTTGTTAGACTTCTTTGTCTGGTATATGCCCAGTCCCAAATGCCATGTCCCCATTTTGTAACACAGGCTTTGTGTTACAAATTTGTGGTCTCCATGCCAAAATCAAGATGACATCATTAAGAGTTTCTTTTCTCAGACTGTCAAATGGCTTTTATGTGTAAAATCGATGAAGTATCCCTTGAATGTTCCCTCCCATTCTTGTTCTTCAGCCTGATTCCTCTGTAATAAGCAGAAAGTACCATTGTGAACAAATATCTGAGACATGGTTGCCAAGGAATTTTAATGACTGCTCCTCTCTTTTCATCTTTTCACCAGCGCCAACCAAAATGCTGGCCACCCACTACCTGCCCTGCTGCACTGTCACTCTATTAGTGCTATTAAAGCTGACCCTGGCCCAGTATGAGCACCTTGGCTACCCGCCTGGTTACCCAGACCCGGAGCAGGAACAGTACACCGCCCCGCAGCTGGCACCAGACACGCCTAGGATTCAGCTCCGGCTGGCAGGAGACAAGAGGAAGCACAACGAGGGCCGCGTAGAGGTTTTCTACAACAGCGAGTGGGGAACCGTCTGTGATGATGACTTCACTATCCACGCCGCTCAGGTGGTGTGCCGGGAGCTGGGCTACCTGGAAGCCATCTCATGGTCTCCATCCTCTAAATATGGGAAAGGACAAGGTAGGTAAAGTAAAGCACTGTTACATTAATATTGTTCCTCATGTCAGGGCGGAGACATGGAAACACATTCAATATAACAAATACTGACTCAATCACACATCAAACATCATCATGTACCTCAGAATAAATAAATGAACAAATAACACATAGATGTATTTTTTACTTTAAGGCCAATATCGTCTGAACATATCACTGATGTAACCTGTGTGTGTGCATGATTTTTCAATTTATGACATATTTGTCATATTATTAGTTGGAAAATGATTCATGGTAGATGTTCCACAGTTTTTGGAGGAAGCAGCCTCGCCTTCAAAAGAAATATATTTTTCCTTTGTTTCCACTAATAAAAGGAAAATGTCACCCCATGGAAGCGCTGATGAATCTTTCTTTTGTCTCGTCAGGACCCATCTGGTTCGACAATCTCCACTGCACTGGCAAAGAAAAGACATTGGCGCTCTGTCCGTCCAATGGGATCGGTGTTTCAGACTGCAAACACAGTGAAGACGTAGGCGTGGTGTGCAGCGACAAGAGGATACCAGGGTTTAAATTTGTCAACACCCTGCCCAACCATGTAGAGGTAAACTTGCAGTTCCTGAAATCTTACACACTCCAAGCTTTTTCATGGCATCTTTTTTACTATCTGCCCAAAGGACATTTGTTTTCCTAACACCTTGTCAGCTGCTGACAGCTGGGCTTTATGATCTGTTTTGCTTTTAGTTGTTCTGTACAAACACAACTTAAGTCTCAAAGCCCTGCACAGACAGTGGAGTTTGTAACATTGTTGCCTTCATCCATCTGGGAACGAATTGGGTTTTTGTCACTCAGAGGTAGATGCCTGTTCCTGTACGTAATTGTTACTCAGCCGTATTCTGACAAGACGATTCAGGGAATAGCTGCATGCAATAATTGACACCTGGTTTGCACTGCAGCAGCGGCATATTGGAACTCTCAGTAGAGTACATACCTGAGCCAAGGCCAAACAATCCTACACATCTGTCAGATACAGATGATTATCTGAATCTGCACCAAATTTTTTTTACAAAGCTTTAGATCTCAACACTGTAAATATGTATTACTTTTTACATCAGGGTCCAAACATTATTTCCCTGAGAAACTGATGAAAGTGGTCAAATGTTTAGGAAAGTGAAAACCACTTTAACTGGATCTTCATGAAAATGTAATGGGTTCTTCCCTGGGTCATCCCCCCACCAAGTCTGGTGTAGATCGGTTCAGTTCTCTTTGCGTAATCCTGCTGACAATCAAACAAACAAAACAACAGACAGACACGAGTCCTCATAACCTCCTTGGTGGAGATAATTATCACTGCCATTAATCAAGAAAGTTTTCTGTTCGGACTGTGTCAGTGATCAGTTTAAAGCCTTAATTAATTACAGGGTATCTGTCTATCTCTAAAAGTAAAGCAAAGGCAGTAAAGTTGGTTATATATGTTTTTATATCTGATTGCTGTTTGAAGATATTTTTAAACTTAAAGAGGGGATGCTGCTGTCACCACCAGCCAGCACCATCAGACGAGTGTGAATTTTAGCAAAATGAACTGATGTGAATTAACCATTTTTAATTAGTTCATCCATCCATCCTTCCATCCACCCATCCATCCATCCATCCTTCCATCCATCCATCCATCCACACTTATCCAGGTTGCATTTATTTAATATCATTAGGAATTATTGTTACGTGCTATGCTCTGGGCCACATCATCTGTGCTGGTTTTTCCATCATAGTTTGGCCAGTGTGAGCATGAAAAAGGTTGAATTGCATTAAAAGTCACTAATTTAACTTGGTGAACCTGGATACTCCCTGTTTTATAATGTCTGACTGTGCACGAGCAGAGAATGACAAGACATTTCATCCATGCAGCCTTTTTTCTCAGTTGCTCCGTGAGGGGAAAACTTTAAGGATATGTTTTCCTATTTTTTTATGGGACACCACATTTTTCTTCTTGTTGTTTTTTCTTTAGGATTATTCAATGTTCAAATATTGCAATCAGACACAAAACCATGCAAAGGTAAGCATGTGCTTTAAAGGGTAAATTTAGTGAAGTAATTAATAGTTGGTGTTTTACGTTAGACTGTTCCTGCATGATGAATTCCCGCATCTTTCACACCTCACACCCCCAGCTTTTACACAGACTTTCTAGAAACACTTGTCCACTGCAAGCTCAAGCTGAGATAAGCCCCGATGACATCACTTAAGTTTTACTTTCAGACCTGACAAAGAGAACGTCCTTTCTCAGGCTTCATGGCGTTCATAACTTCCCTTTGAAAAATAAATCTCTCCTGGTATACGGCTGGAAACGACTCCGTACACCTAAAGTCAATAACCCATCCCGACTCTGTGTTTTACCAGTACTCCTTTCTAAATAGCCTGCAGTCAAAGTGTGTCAGTGAAAGTGAAGTTAAACTGGTAATTATTAGGTGTTGCACTCATAACTGTCAGAGTTGTCTGGAGCTGACGGACCTTTAAGAGCCACCAAAAGCAGAATGTTATCTTTCTGCTCACTGGGCAGGCCTCATGAATCCACATTCCAACGTTATGAGCAAACTGCACACCAGAGCTGAGTCTGTGCGTCTGCCTCTCTGTCTCCCTCTCTGACCCACTCCTCTGCTTCTTGGGAGAGTTTAAAAACTGATATAGCGTTTTTTTTTCATAATGCCCACAAAACATGTGTGGTCAGCTCAGCAGAGCTTTTCTTTACTTCTCCAAAAGCCACCTGTATGATTTAAGGATTGTTATGGTTAGCTGGAACTGAAAAACTCCCTGAGCTTGTCAGATGCACTCCCTCTGAGTGTAACGTTATCATATCAGATAACGATATGAAAACAATGTGACAGTAGCTACAGTAGATTTCCTTAGAAATCTGTCACAAATTTTAAATGAATTTTGAGTAAATTAGAAAAAGAAAATACAAAATGTTTCCAGCTGCTGCCGTTATGCGAATATTAGGAGTCGGTTTGTCAAGATAAGCAGCTGGTGGTGTTCATTTTCCAATCAGGTGCCATTGAAGCATTGCAAAAGAAGTGGCTTAACAAGGTGGCTCTTTTAAAAGAGCACCAGTCAAACCTCAAAGAGAATGTGCAGAAACAATCTCTTTCTTGTCTTCATCTGAGGAAGGTCACGCTTCACTCAGATCTGAAGTTTTTGTCAGTCGCTGTTTTTCTTCTCTTCACCGAAGCAGAGGCTTGAGTGAATGTTTCAGAAGTCTCATGCACGATTAATTGACTAAGTCTGTTTCCATTGCCATTTGTTGTGTTAATCTTTTCCACCTTGGCCAAGTGCAGAATCTTTTTTTCCCATATTTTTCTTTTTCTGTTTTTAAATTTTTTTTGCTGTTTTCAATCAGGGGGTTGTTTTTTTACGCCCAAAATCCAAACTACATATAAAACTTGTTGAATGGAAACTAACCTGATGTGAAAGGTGTCGCTCTTAATGATGAACCCTAGTGAGAATTATCAACTGAAACTGCAGCTCTCCTCGGCTTCATGGAGCTTTATAGTCAGTGTCAGATCATTCACAGTTTTGGTTCACTCTCTCTGATGTCTTAGCGTCACTTTTTAGCCGCAGCTGGCACCTGTTTTCCGCATCGGGCGTCTGTACACTGCCTGCTCAGCTCCAGACAGCCACAGTTAGAGACTAGCTGGTGAACTTAGTGGAACATTGAGCAGGTACAGAGCCAGATATTTTGTGGGCAAAAAAAAAAAGTATTAAAATCAATACAATAGAAACAAAGATGTCATCTTTTTTATTTCACACATTCTTCTTTATAAAAACCTGGCACCTACATTACCCACAGTGCAACTCTAATTCTGACCTTAGTTGGAGATTTCGGTGTGTTATGCCAGCAGCGGCTAATGTAGTGGCTAATGTCGCCTCGAAAACCTCTGGCCTCAATCAGAGATGAGGAGTGGGCTGCAGAGGTCTGGCGAGCTCACTTCCTTTTCTCCACACCCCCAGATTTTTTTTTTTCATTTTCTTTGTCGTGTACATCCAGAAACCTTTTCTCACATACACAGTGGTTCTTTCCCAACACATGTAAACAGACCTTGATACGTATGATTGGTGGAGTTTCTCCATTCAAGCTGCGACTTCCTGCTCAGAGCTTTACAGAGACAAAAGGTAAAGATTAGGATTCCTGGGAGAGCGCGCCTGGAGAGGTCTAGACGTCTGGAGTCAAGCTGGGATAGCAGCTGAAAAAAACAAAAAAAAAAAATCAGACTCAGCTTTTCCATTCACTAAAAGTCACGTGATCTCCGTGCATGTAAAACACAGCCAACCGGTCCCCGGCTGCCGCACAGCCGAGGCCCGGTTTTATCATCTGGAAGTGGTAATCTGGTGACTCACCCAGGCACTTTCTGGTGTGTAATGGCCGCCATGACGACATGTCGTTGGGGGTTGTGTGGTATGGGATGATTAGTAGGCTTTGGCAGTGCTGAGGAGCCTGCATGTGGAGGCAGCACTGCTTTCTCAGGTCATGGCAGCCTCAGTAAAGTCACCCACAAAGGAAATAGTCAGAGAGTGAGCTAAGAGGGAGGTGAAACATGAATCCTTGCAAGCATGTGTCGCCGACCTTTGACCTGTGTGCTCAGGCCCCTCTCTGCTTGTGCTTCGTCTTCTCACATTGTTGAAATAAAAGAAGAGGTGTTTCATTTTGAGCCAGTTTTTTTGACCAACTTGTAAACCTAAAGAAAACAAACATCTTGTTTTATGAATCTGTTCTCATGTGGTCAGGAAAGTCCATGAGTTTGCATGGATTCCAGTGACTCCATATTTAGCACAGTGTCTCAGTCAGCTGGACAGTAAACAATGCAGGTTGACACCCAGTGTTCAGTGCTGCGTCCCTGGAATATTTAGCACGGCATCTCTCCAGTGTTTATTTATATATTCCCTGCCGTGCTTTGAGGAAAGTCTGCTGCCTCGTCTCGGCGTTTCAGTTTATGTAGAAGTGGCTGCAGAGAGTTTCTGAGGCCTGACCTGCGATCACACACGCATGCATTACATTCCATTTCAAACCAAATTCAACATTAAGAAATTCGGGGGTTTATGAAATGTGATGTTTGGCAGTTCCCATTTCCACAGTGGTCCAACAGGCTGCCCCATTTATCCAAATGATGTGAACAGTGATGCAGTCAGATGAGGTACGCAGAAACAGCAGCTAGAAAAATCTAGGAGGAGCAGCCTGTGAGAGAGGAATATTCTTAGCCATTTGACTTTATGGGGAAATGGTAATTTAAATGGAGACCGGCTACACAAAGGAGCATATAGAAATGTCTGTCAGCAGTGTAGGAAGTCTGGAGAGATGTAATTATGGCTGAGAATTGTAATCGTTGGAGCCATTTTTAGTGCAAACATCCTCAATTATAAGTCATCAAAAGCTTTTGAAAGGGGAGTGAAAAAAGGGTGATAATGTTGAACTTTTTATATTTTTATTATATTCTATTACATTTATATTTTTATATTCTACTACCTCCTTCTACCTACCCCTCTACTAACCTTAATTTCCACTGTGGAATGTGTACCAGTCACTTTTTAAAGTAATTTCTTCACAAAATAAAAAACAGA